TTAGTGTCTAATTGCATTACTAAATCTAGAGGCTTAGGTTTAAGATCTTTTCAAGAGAGAATACGATTGGAAATAAAAGAAAGAGTTGAAGGATAAGAATGGGGCTAAAGCAATTTCTGCTTTTTGTAATTAAGAAGGAGGGAATGCTTAGCTAACCATTATCGTTCTAGAATAACATTATTATTCTGAAGAATAGTAATCAGAAAAGGAGTGTATGATTGAATACATTTATTAATTATAAGTGTAAAACGAGTGTAATGAATAATTTGTTTATCTACAGTGCTATTATACTCTTTGACAAATATTAGAGCGGGTAGTTTAGCAATAAAAATAATGAATACCAAGGAGATTTGTTATAAAAAGGCTTTATTAATAAATGTATAGCTATTAGCTTCGGAGTCAATAAGAACTTAAACTTGAAAAGCAATTCCTTATTTCGAAATCGTGTAAGGAATAGTCATATAAGAACCTCCCATTAGCTTTTGTAGATCAAGATATCTCATATCTCTCAGATACTCTAGAAGGGAGACTTTTTCTAGAATTCGTTTTTTGGGGGCTTTATATTTATTACTTCTTTTTTTTAAACAAAATCCATTAAATGTTAGGTATCGGAAGGGTTACCGGTAGATTTGCTAAAAAATTCATTAGCATCAATAATCTCTTGAATTCGGAAATCGGATTGAGCTAAAATCGAATTTCTTACTGAACTATTAGATTTCCAAGATTGGGAATTATGATAAGGATTATTCGAGATAGAAACTGTATTGGATTAATAATTCGATAGTAAACAGAGTAAAACAATATTTACGAAATATTATGGGATTTTTTAACTAATCTTAAGCGTAGAGTGTGACTATTGTAAAGCAGTTGTACAATTACTAGTAGGGTTCGATTGGGTAACCAATGCAATTGCATATTCCCTAGTTTTAATAGATTGGTAATTCACATTATAAATTTGAAGGAGAGCTGCATAATTATTAATACTTCGAAAACTAGCGAACTCTGTAATACAAATATATGCTAATCTGATATTAATTCGGTTTCAAAGGTTATTGAGAAGAGTAGAGCTATCTTGAATTCTGGTAGTATTAGCTAATTGTCGAAATTTTTGATAGAATTCCCAAAATGGCTGATTTACACCTTGTCTCAATATTTCATATTGATCTAATGCCATTCGTTACTCAGTTGGATTAGTAGTAACTTATACAGCGGCTTCAATTAATTCTTATGCGTTATATTTGGGAAATGAATCAAAAAGCAGGGACTACAAATAATCACAAACTATATCTTCGGTATTAACGATAATATAAATCCTACATTACCTTTCGCTAATAAAAGCATATATATATTATTCCAGATTATATTCAATCAGATATTTCCATAATTTGGGCTTCAAGACTTTGCTATTCAAAAGCTTTTCCGTAAGATAGGGGATCTTCTTTATTCTATAAGAAATAAAGAAAGTTGTATTTTGCTTATCAAATATAAATTATCGAAAAGAGATTGAATTAGGAATAAGATGAGTATCCTTTTTATGCGAAAGGTGTATAATGGTTTTTATAGGATCTACAAATTCAATTGTATCAAGAACTAACTAATATAAGGCTTCCCGAGAAACAGGAAATTGATTTCGAGAGTTATTCTTAGAAGAATGAGAGATACGAATATTATTGATTTCCAATCTCAATTTAGTAATAATAGCATTTTGCTAAATGATAAGATTGAGAAGATTATTAGCCCAGGCAAAAGGCTCTTCTTTATCTGATTCTTTGTCTTTTTGTAGTATAATTATTCCAGGAGTAAAGGAATCCGAATCTTTTTCATTATCATCGAGAATAGCAAACTGATTTGAGGTTGAAATGGAAGGGCTAGCTTCTGCTTGAGAAGGGGGAGTACGCAATAGTCCTTTACTTTGAAAGACTATAATCATACTGGATTCTTTAGAATCGTAAGGAAAAGCTTGAGTACACTTCTTTGCAATTCTTTTCGATCTTTTTGAAAAATTAGTATAAGGATTAGGGGATTATTGTTGATTAACCATCCTTTAGAAACATTTCCTTATCTTCTGGTATAGGTTCTTCTAGTCTATGCAATATTGATGCTTGGGTTTTCTAAGAAAAGGTAAGATATTATTTGGTATACCGTTACCAGCAGAGGCTTGTATAAGTGAGTTTTAGATAATGTAAAGGACTGTCATAAAAGGATTCAATTCTACCTTAGAATCTAAAACTAAAGAAGGAAGAAAAGAATAAGAAGAGAATTGTAAGGGCTCCGGACTATATACACCAATGAGTCACGTGCTAGGCTAAGGTCCTAGAAGCTAAGTGACTGAGAAAGGAACCTGAAAGGGACTGAATCGTCACATTAATTATATCTCAAAAAATCGATTATTAAATATTTATAAGAAGCTAAAACTATCAACAAATCTAATTATTTGGATAGTCTTATTCCTTCAACAAAAACAATTCAAATTGTTCTTTAATAATCAAATCGAATTTTTCAAGTTTATTTCGACTGAAATACTATAAGACAGTTCTATTTCTCTAATTCTATTTTTAATATATATTAGAGATTTATTTCTTTCAAAATCAATCAAATTCCTTTTTTATATTGATGATATTGCTTTGATTATAAACTTATCTTCTTAGAAAAAGAATATTATATCTTTTGAGAAAGCTATAAAGCAAATTTATGAATTTAGCTCGAAAAACGCTATTCAATTCGATTTAGCAAAAACAGAGTTAATGTATTTCTTAGCTTTCAAGTTAACTAAGAATCACTTAATTAAACTATCTAATTCCAATATTATTACACCCCAATTTCTGATTAGATAGCTAAGTATATAGTTTGATTCAAATCTCAAATTCAATCAATATATCAATATTCGAATTATATAAGCAAAAGAAGCCTTTTATTGAATAACTCGATTAACCAATATGGAAAAAGGCCTAAGCTCGAAAGCCCTTTGATAGTTATATATAGTCTGTATAATTAGTATAGTAGATTACGGATTAGTGATTTGATAGAGAGAACAATCCTATTTTAGGGATAAAATGCAAGCTCTTCAAAATCTAGCTTTTCGAAAGATATTAGGAATCTTTAAAACCATTTCAATTCTCCCAATGAAAATTAAAGTGGGATTAAAATCAGTAAATATTTAATTAAATTCAAATATCAAGTAGTATACTTTTCGATTAATAAAACTTTTATTTAATCATTCAATTAATATCGAAAAAGCTATTTTAGCAAATCAATATGCTAATCGAGAATCAATCAATATTCCTTAAAGAAAACTATATAAACCAATCTAATTTAATAAAATAAGAGAATCAATTAATAAAAAATTCAATTCATTCTTTCTCAAAAAGATTACTTATTTTTACTTTCCATTATAGAAAAAGGAAATCCCTTTCAAAATCAATATTAGTAAGACTTCAAAAGAAAATGTAACAATATTTTATAATATTATTTTCAAATATAGAGATTAAGATACTATCTATATCTATACAGATGCCTTTTCTATAGAAAAAGGAATAGGTATTGGTATAGGGATAGTAACAATATAATCGAATAATCAAATTTCATATCAAGAACAAGTGAATATTGAAAGCAATTAATTGATTTATAATGAAGAGCTATATGGAGTTATTCAAGCTATTAAATATACTAACTCAATTACTAGTAATAAAAAGAAATTCAAGGTTTATTTAGATAATCAAACAGGCCTACTATAACTAAAAACACTTTCGGATTACTTTGGTCAAGCTTATCAAATTCGAGCAATCAAAGTAGCCAAAGCTATTAGAACTAAAGAAACGGAAATATCCTTAAATTGGATACTAGGATATATTTCAATAAAAGGAAACGAGCTAGTAGATAAACTAGCAAAGGAAACAATTATAATACAATCTATTTTAAATAAAACTAATTTCGGATTATTAAAAATAATAATCAAAGAATCCTTTTTTGATTAATGGAGCTCGACTCTCAATCAATATAAACTCAGATCAAACCAAATAGTATTAATCTATTCAAAGTTATTTTTATGGAAAATTGAATTGAAAATCAAGTTATCAATTGAAACAAGGTGAAATATAACTAACGCTTTTTTTTAATTGAAACTAGGTCATGGTTATATTAAATCATACTTATATTATTTTAATTACTTTAATAATAAATGTATATATAATAATATTGAGATATCTCAATATCTTTTGATTAGTTGCTCAATATACAAAATGAAAAGAAAAGAGATATTTCAGAATATATTACTTTCTAAAATCATTCTACAATTTTTATTTTATATGAAAATAGGAATCGAATTAATTATCAAATTCATTAATATAATTAAAATTACTACAAAAGTTTGATATTTATCAAGAACTCAAATGGAAAAAGAAAGAGAAAAAGAAAGAGAGATTAAAGAAAGAGAAAAAAAGGAAGAATACTCTATAGAATAGATTTCTTTATTGTCTTACTATATATTATACATATAGTAAATAGGCTTAGGTCCCCAATGTTCGTTTGCACTTCCCCAAATTGTTTATTCCTATTATTATAAAATAAAAAGTTATCTACTAGGCCCTTAAGGCCTAGTCGTCCTATATAGTCTTAGACTGAAGGTGGACGTAAATTCAATCAATCAATCAATCAATCAATCGACTGTAGATACCAAAGATGAGGTGGATAGCCAGGTGGTAATCGATTTCAATGAGGCACTGGCTGAAGAACACCGCAAACACTGGGCTCCAGATATTGAACTAGTGACAACAACTGTCGATAAAAGTACGTCAACACGGGAACAAAACTGTCAAGCCTCGTGTTGTAGGAACCAATTCGTATATGAAGATGCTCAAGTCGACAGGTACCGTGCAGAAGATTTTGTTCAAAGCTTGCTTCCAGAAACTTCATCTCAGCACCCATCTTTGATAATATACCCTCGACCATTGCAGGAAGTGATAAGTGGTGGCAATGAACCATCCAAAGATGAACTTGCTATTATGACTTTCAGAGTTTTCGGGTTTGTTTTGAGAACCCGGAAGTGGGGTACACACACAATCCACCCTTTTTTTTTTCTTACGATTTATTCTCGGAATACTAATCACTTTTATCTTTACTAGCCAAACTCGACCTCAAATATCTACGTTACGAGAATGAAGCAAACAACAAAACGGTGCAAACAGCTTTCGAACGGCTCGTCCTTCCCGAAGGTCACAAGGACGTAGTACAGGCATTGGTTACCCAGCATTTTCGCGACAAGAAGACATCCTCTGTTCGAGATGAGCAATACGATCTTGTTCGAGGGAAAGGTGAGTTTCGAAAGAACGGAGTTTGAAATAAGCCACTTGCTCAAGTAATTTGCTGATTCGTACTTTCAGGGAAGGGCCTTATCATACTCCTTCATGGTGCTCCAGGAGTCGGAAAGACTACGACGGCTGGTATGTTGTAGTGTCTATTCCGAGAGATCTTTCAATAAGATGTACTAATTTATCTCAATAGAGGGTGTAGCGGAATCATTCAAGAGACCTCTCTTTCAAATTACTTGTGGTTAGAATGCTACCCTTCAATTGATATTAGCTTTTACAACAGCTGACATTGAATTTTGGAATAAACCAGGAGATTTAGGTACCACCGCACATGAAGTAGAGAAGGAATTCGAGAGGAATTTTGCCCTTGCAAGTCGGTGGGGTTGTGTTCTTTTACTGGATGAAGCAGATGTTTTCCTTGCTCAGCGAGAGCGCAAAGACTTCATACGGAATGGCTTAGTAGCGGGTGAGTCCACGACAGAATGGAGTGAGATATGCATGAACCTATTTCTGGTGTACTAAGAGTCAATAGTGTTTCTAAGAGTACTCGAGTACTATGCGGGTATACTTTTTCTCACTACGAATCGAGTTGGCGACTTTGATGAGGCGTTCGCTTCCAGAATCCATATGAGTTTATACTACCCGGAGCTCAATCGAGAGCAGACGGAGAAAGTCTTCAAGCTCAACCTTGAGCTCATCGAAAGCCGTTTCAAGGCTCAGAATCGAGAATTGGAATTCGACGATTCCGCTGTTCTAAGCTTCGCAAAACAACATTACGACGAACATAAACATGCACGATGGAATGGACGACAAATTCGCAATGCCTCACAAACAGCCCTAGCTCTTGCTGAATTCGATGCTCTCAACAAATCCCTTGCCCTGGAAATTGACAATAGTACAAAGGTGCACTTGAAACAGGGTCACTTCACAACAGTTCAGAAAGCATATCTAGCCTTTGCAAAATATCTCGGCGAAGTCTTCGGTACGGAGGGTGACAAGAGAGCCGAGGAAAACCAACTTCGCGCTCGAGAAGAATTGAATCGATCTTTCAAAGGTCACCAAAAGGAAAACTCGGAGTCAAAATATCGCGATACCGAATTCCAACCCACAAATCAACATACCAATGTCGTGTACCAAGGCAACGGACATCTTCCTCCCCGGGGTCCCTCACCCTACCAACAAACGGGCCACGGGCCCGCCCAATACGGACCTAGCGGATCATTCGGCGGAGCGCAACAAGAGACATATAGTTACAATCAACCAACCAGATTGGTACCGTCTAATACCCCCTACAATCAACCTAGTATAGTCCACGAATCTCATGGAGGACAACAACATCCAAATCAATATTCGCAGCAGGGATGGCAGCAGACAGCCCCTCAAACAACTCCCGGTCAGATCAACGCTATTCCTCGTCAGATGCCGATACCCGTTACTCAATCAAACCAGGCTATGTACAATCAGCCTTACCCTCAAGCGCAGGATGGAGCACATGCTCAAATATCATCTCGGGGGTCCGAATATAGCGAGTTCCAAGAACGTTAAGAATTTGCTTCAATTTCTCTGATATTTTTAAATTTGGCTTGCGTTAAACTCGACTATGGAATGGAATTTAGTATCATGATAACATCAACTAGGTAACAATAAAACTGTGATTTTTTTATTAGATTAAAAACAATGCAATCAATGTGCGAAATAATATATGCCAGTAATCTTGTATCGCGTACTCGGACAATGAGACTGCATCACTCGCCAATATAAATTTAAATTAAATACAAGCAACGTACTTTATTGTTATCAAGATATAGTCACGTATCCACGATGCACATTGCGTATAACCGACCCATCATGATACAAGCCGGGTGAAAAGATACGGAGGATCCTACGTATTTACCAGGTATATTCGTGTGCATTATACATAGAGTCTAAAGCAAAGGAGATAGATAGCCTATAGGAAAATACACTCAGGGATGAAAGATTATCCTCTCTTCTTTTCTTACAAATATATATCTAGTTTTTAATTATATATTGCTTAAGATGTAAATCTAACACAGACATCTGCCCGTGATTTTCATTAATGACGAGATTGATGTTGAAATGATTTGAACTGACTATCACCCTGTAAAGGAAAATAGAGGTAATAGGTGGTTGGCTTATAGAAAAAAGAGCATAGGGAAAAGAGAAAAGAGAAGAATAGAATATTTTATACTTTTTCTTCTTTGTTTTCTAAACCCTCAATATTTATCCATCTAGCGATAATATATATATCTAGCTTTCCCGAGGTCTTTCAACTATACTATTCATTTACTTAAATTAATTGACTAATAGTAAGAAATCGAGTTAACAAACAGAAATTAATAAGTAACTTATCAAGGGTTATAAAAAACTAGGGTTCAATTAATAAAGTATAGAATTCTATAGAAAATCAAAAAGGAATCCAAAGGATTTCTAAAATGATATAGTCTCTTAAATGTATTATATAATCTAACAGCCTCGCTCCTTTTCATAACTTAAAAAGACAATCAATTCGCAACTCTAATATCGCTAGATATTTACTCAGATAATCAAACTTCTTTCTTCCAATTATTTCAATCATATTACAATTTCTATTAAAAATTCATTCCCCTCCCCTCATAAGTATTTTTCGCTTTCGCTTAGATATTCGCGTCGTCAGGGTCAATGTGTGATCACGTGACATAATACCGAGCTCATTTTTCAATTTCTATCATTACTACTATTACTATAAAAGAGTAGAAGGTGGTAGGGTCATAGAGTAGTCCTTCGCATATACCATAGAGAAGTCACTGCAACATAGCGCCTCTGGCGGAGGAGAGGAGAGGAAGGCTCTACATAGCGTTTCACAAGACGTACTAGAAATTGAGTGGAAACTGACTATCGTTTCTAAACTATACAAAGAAGAGCTATAAATACTAGCTACAGAAAGGGTCACGTGACCAGCACTAAGTTTCGCTCACATTACTACATCTATTATTACTATTATTACTACTATTACTACTATTACTACTATTACTACTATTACTACTATTACTACTATTACTACTATTACTATTATTACTACTATTATTACTATTATTACTACTATTATTACTATTATTACTACCATTACTATAACTAGTATTCCTCTCAGAAAGCAAGAAAGCAAGATAATTAAAAACCTCAGGTCCACCTCGTCTCTACTCACTCATAATTAACTTAGTGATTTATTGATTTATTGATTTATTAATTTTATTTATTCTTTTTCCTATATATCTAAACCAAACTCAATAACCGAGTATCTTCCTTTCCCTTCCCTTCTCTTCTCTTCCACTTTTCCCACTTCCCCTTTCCACTTCCCCCTTTCCACATCCACATCCACTCCATCTCCACCCCGCTCTTCCCCCCACATAACAACATTACTCTCTCCCACCTGCACCACCTACACCACCTCCACCACCCAAACAACTTACAAAACAAATAGAATAGCAAACTTCATAAACTCATTATAATTCATAATCCATAAATCTCCCCCGCTCTCTCTCATCCGCCTCTTCTTTCATCCACCTCCTCTCACCCCATACTATTCAATACCATCCCATCCAAGCCCCAAGTCACCAAACCCGCAATCTCAGATCGCACATCATTATCAATAAGTCAACCGGTGACCTCCATCCGAATTGAATCGAATCGAATCCAAGAAAAAAAAAAAAAAAAAAAAGAGAAAAACCTGTATACAAAAAACCGGGTTCGCACCCATCCAACCATCTCATGAAATTTTTAAAAATTTTCCCCTCTCCCATTCTTTCATTCTTTCATTCATTAATCATGTCTTGTTTAATAGAGCAAAACTCAAACACTATTAGTTCTCCTCCTAACCACTACCGGTTTCTGCGCATGTATAACCACCAATTTGAAACTCGCGTTCCACTTTTCGCATTCATCCAAGACCTTGATATCGGTAAAGATGCTTTTCGTTTCTTTCCCCTTGGGGTCTCCTCCCTCTTTCTCGTCATTCTCCATCTTGGTTTTCGATTCAAAAGCAAGTAAAGAAGCTTCATAACATCTTCCATACCACCACCTTCCCACTTTCGCTACCATGCGAGTAATACTCTCATCTGCAGATTCACTTTCCTCCTTCATCATTTCGGCCAAACTTCGTTCTTCTTTCTTCTCCTTTTGTCGATTAACCTCCTCGATTTCCTTCTCCTTGCCGCTCCTAACCCGTTCCAATACTCCCACCACTGGAATCCCCACCCGACAACTCTTCACATCCCCAAATGCTCTCACTCCAAGTCCTCTCAAAATCATATCTCCCAAACTGCCCAACACAACACCCTCATCTCTATTCTTCAATCTCGTTTTGAGACCTCGCACAGCGCGGCGAGTACGAGGTCCCATATTCAACATATCGAGATCGAGAAGTGTAATCTCAATGTATCCACCTGGTTTGAGTACGCGTCGAGATTCGGAGAGGATGTGATTGTAAACTTGAGTTGTGAGAGAGGAAGGAAAGCGGAAAATTACGGTGCTAAATGTAGAAGAAGAGAAGGGAAATTTGGAAGTGCTGCTGAGAGGAGAAAATTGAATTTGTCGGTGGTTAGGAGGTGGAAGTAAATAGGAAGGATTTTTGGGATTAGTGGTCGGAGGAGGGGCGGTAGGGGATAGATTGTAGAAAGTGCAAGTCGGATAAGTTTCTGCAGCATAGAAAGACCAGTCGTCTAATTTGTATCAGTTTCATGCCAGGGATAAATATGGATCAAACATACCATTGCCAAGTCCATCAATAACCAAAATGGAATGACATTTCGTCCTGGGTCCATCCATCAAATTGCCTACCTCATCCCTAGCTGGACTAAACAATACATTCCCAAAAGTAAGCCATTTACTAACACTCATACTTCCAACTCTCAAATTCACTTGCGAAATTGGAGAACTGCTTTCTTCAGATTCAATTCTCAAAAGACTAGCTCCTGAAATCCGTGATGTATTACTCGAACCAGATTTCCTTGATTCGACTATCGAAAGGTGTTGAGATTGCGTTGAATGAACAGAATCGTTGCGTTTGAGTAATTCGGGAGAGAAGGCCGGAGCTGTTGACGATGGTTTCGATTTCAACGCATCTTGATCTTCAGCTTTCACAGTCGCATCCACATCGACGCTAAAGCAACTCGACGCTATAGAGGTAATAGCAGATCTTCGACGTGGCAGTTCAGGCAATTCGCGATTAGGAAAAGGAGAAGCCTGAAGCATGGGCTTAATCATGCGGGTAGAGGGACTTTGATACGTTTCATATTGAAATGGAACACCATAAGATGATGTCGTAGAAACAATGCGAGATTTCCTCGTCGTACTTTCCGTTTCGATCAAATCGTCGTATTCATCCCATACTTCATCTTCCGCTAATGCCGAATCGGGTTCGGGGATAATTGCCGTAATCTCAGCACCATTAATTGTGCTCGAACTACTCGTCGTAGCTGTGGAATTATTCCTAGGAGACCTTCTTGGTGAAAAGGATAGAAATTCTCCTTGATACGATGGTGGACTACTGAATTTCGCTGGGTAAGTTTCAGGGCTAGAAAACTTCGGTGGACTTGCTCCCAAAGCAACTGAATTAGCATCAAATGAAGATACATCCATGGCAGGTTGTATAGTGCTCAATCGTGCAAATGGTCTCGAGAAAGATATTGGAGATGTAGCTTCAGGTCTTGCAGAGACCACTTTTGGGATCCGACCAACTTGTTGGAGGCGACTCGGTCGAATAGGTGTCACTTCTCTCTGAACCTGAGATTCTATTTGAGTCTGAGGAACTTGCGGTGATGAAGGCATTATCAATTCCGGTGGTGAAAAAGCAACGGTTGCTGGAACCATCTCTGGAAGCGAAGGTGCCATTGCCGTTTGAAGTTCTTCGATACGTCGGATATTTTCCTTATAATTGCTAAACCTAAGCTCGTTCAATTGCTCATCAGTTAGTCCTACCACCTCTGAATCTCTCAAAATTTCCGCTAGATCCACACTATCGGTATCTTCTGGCTCATCAGAAAACTCAAACATAGCGTAGTGTGGTATCGGTTTAACAGGCTGTCTACCAATGGTGACAGGTACCGCATCGTATTTAATCTCGGTCTCTGATTTTGGTGCGTGTCGATGAAAGAAATTCCACTTCCGTGGTGACCTTGCTCGCTTCTCCAATTTTCCCGGCTTACCAGGTTGGGCTTGTCTTCCACGCTCGGCTTCTTCTTCCAATTCTAGTTGTGATTCTCCAGACATTAAGCTAGGATCCAGGCTGCTTATCGAAGATGAAGGAACTTTCGTTGTGATATTTAGTTGTTGAGGGATATTCACAGTTGTTGTCGCACTATTGAGACGTTGGATCGACCTTCGGAATGCAATGGATGGTTTCTTTGAATCATCTTCATCTTGGCTATCGGAAGGTCTTCTAACTTTGGAAGAACCTACAGTAGAAGTTCTCTTACTATTTTCCTTTGGAATTGCCGATGGTTGCGGGATGGTTCTGGGCGCCTTTTGACTCAAACTAGTCTGAGAAATATTCTGATCTAGTGCAGAAAGACTAGTATTACTCTCTGTACGACTGACAACTTCAACAATAGAGTTGCGATTCTCCTTTATAGTTCCACCACCGGATATGATAACAGGGCTCATACGATCCCGGAAAAATGGATCCGTGGTATCCAATTGATCTTTGGACGTTGGAGCTCCACTCAAACTTCTTTCCCGAGGCTTACCGGCAGTGGATCTGGTAGTAGTACGCCCACGTAGAGCATATCTTGTATACCCTTCATGGCCAGTACCTGCAGCTGGTCCTTTCTTTTGAGATTTTTCTGTCGAGAGAGTTGTCACTTCAGGGGCTGTCTTTGTCCTTCGACCAAAAAGTCCAAAACGATGCTTTCCACTATCAACACTTGGACTTGGAGTGCGAGTCATGCGATTTCGAGAAGGTGGCCTGAGGCTTGGGATTATTCCAAGACCGGCAGGTGCTGGAGTAGGATCCCGATGTAGTGGGTGGACTGGTACTGGAGATGGGTTCCGGGATGACTCTAGTGATGCTTGAGTCATTGAAGTTTGAAGAGGAGATGATGCTGCTCTTTGTGAGGAAACGCTATTGCTTTTGTTGTGTGTAAACCGCATGCCAGTAAAGTTGCTCTGAAGTACTGCAAAGTCTTCAATCTGGGACCTCAAATCCGGGGTACCATCCCTGCTAGGCCTTCTTGGGGGTGAAGGTCTATCGATCGTCTCTATCAATGGAACTGATGGCCTCGGAGGCGATGACATCGGAGATGAAATCGGTCCTGCGTATGATGGGTTTGGAATGGCTCTGGTAGGTGACACTTTTTCTTGCGGCGACCTCTGAAACTGATTAGACGACTTACGAGGTGGTGGACTAGGTGGAAGAGAAGACAAAGACTTCTTCTTCTTATGAAGCTTATCCCGAGATTTCCCATCCGCCTTTACCGTAGAATTAGACGAAGAAGAATTAACAGACTCTCGTAACGATGGTAGCCCACGTGAATCGATGATTGCATTGTTGAGCTCGTTCGATGCATCGCTTTCGCGTCTCCGAGTAACAGGTGGCCTAGTCCTAGTGGGACTACTTCCTCGACGATTTGGAATGCTAGACTTGAAAGGCACAAAGATGCTAGGCGATACAGACGACATCGAAGTAGGAGTCGTATCTCTACTATAAGCGCTTGGACCCGGTGACTCGGAAAACCTTGTAGAGGGACTTGCACTGTATCCGCTTCCACTATATCCGCTGTACCTTTTGTGACTGGATCCCGAACTTACAAATCCCGCCGACATTGAAGGAGTTGGAGGAGATATATCGGGAGTCTTTAATTTGTAGGGAATATTGGATCCAAACTTAGCATTCAACCCCTCGCGGTGTTGTTCCGGTCTCGTTCGATATCTATCCAACTCCGGTATAATCCGTGGCGGTACTTCCTTGATAGAAGATGAGGAAACCTTTCGAACTTGCTGTGAGGCTTCCATACGTGGATGTCCTGGGTTAATTGAAGCTGGAGTGGTAGGCTTAGGTTCAGATACATGGCCCCAATTAGCTGGGGAACTATTCGCGGTCCTAGCCGTTGTTGGCCGACTAAGCTCAGCATGTTGAGCTATCGATGAGGGCTTTCTCCTCAACACATTTCCAGACACGTTTCCATTGATGGCCGGAACCAGATGAATGGTCGAGACATCCCCATTTGAACGAGCTCCAGCTCCTAATAAAGGTGCTGTCGTTCCTCTGGATCCAGTCTCGGATTTTGATCTCGGTACTGGCGACGGTTGTCGTATGCTCGGCCGGGGTAGCTGTGTCTGCTGATTTAACTCCAAATTTGCCCTTCTTTGCTCTCTTCTGGATTTAATATATGCACTATCGTCTCTTACGCCCCTTGGCTTGCTAACTTCTTGTGGCTGGGTCTGGCGTGGAACTCTTCTTTGCGATACTGTGACATTTGGCCTGGATGGTAAACCAAATTGCATATTGTTGGATGCCATGATTTCTTGCTTCAAGTAACATTCTTCAAGAAAAGGTGTGTGTGGATCCACCGGTGGTTATAAGCAGTGACAAGGGTATATTCTTGACATTTAATCTATGGTATATGTAAAAACAACCTTGTTTTCAATGAGAAAGTCAATGTCTTTTCAGGACTAAAGCCAGTGAGTATAGTGACGGACAATGAAGGAAGTGGTAAGGTATAATACCTTTTTAGAACTCTCTTAGATTATCAAGTCGGGGGATCTGCGTCTCATTGAAGATTTTATTGCATAGAAATATTGAAAGGCGAGATGGTGTGGTCGTAATGGCAGGAAATTAATGTGTATCCAATATATCTGGATTCGAGCACGTGAAGGCAACAAATGGATAATGAAAAACGTATGATCACCGCCAGGGTAGGGTATCTCAGGGTATGGGTATGGATATTGAAACAAAGCAAAAGCTATAGGAAATCCCGAAAATACAACGAAAGATTAAGTTGACTATTCAAGAGTCAAAAGCAACAAAAGCAGAAAAGAGAAAGAAGAAAAGAGAAGAAAAAAAATGCCGATGATTTTCTTAAGAATTATTTTTGAGGAATACCAGTCGTTGTGGTTGTGGTTGATAATAAAGGTCGTACCTAGCGGGAAAAGGATAGGTAGGGCCTAGAGTGTGGGGACTGTCACCGTATAGTTTTCTCGTCAAAATAATGGAGACGATACCTTTTTGAGACGAGAGAGCGATAGAGCGATAGAGCGACACATAGAGCGATAAACCACTGGCGCCGATTGGAGTTTTGGTTCCTGCAGCTCGATGGAGTCTCGACATTGGATTGATTTATTTTTGGTTGCACTTGGAGCAGCAAGAGTGCGGGACGTAATATAACATAGCGTACGAATGAATTCTGGTTATATGCAAAGGATAGGTATGGAGGTATGATATGTACGTAGGTGTGCGTACATGTATGGAGAATGTACCAATAATTCGATTCCACCCCGAATGAACCAAGAGTTCTGGGTATGCGGTGGAGAGCGATACATGAGAGAGTCATCATGATTTCTCGAGATCCTAGGAAGCTGGAGGCGGTATCATAGGCTACCTAGGTATTCTCCGTTCGTGCCCGGTACTTGCTTGCGTTGTGGCGTTCTCGTGGTTGTGAGGTCCCATCTGCTCAACCATTTGTCGGAAGGATTGGGTCTCTTTCACGGTCCATCGACATGGGCATATGTGACTGTGCCTCTGGAGTAGCCGATGAGACGAAGATCTTGATATGAATAAAGATTAGTGACCGTTAAATTGAGGCCTAAGATGTAAAGCTAGTAGGATAAAGAGTCAAAAGCAAAAGCAAAAGTAAAAAGCAAAAAGTCCAGTCTAGTCATTGTGTTCTCAATTGAGTCGTTTGGAAGATCACAATTCTCGGGTTTGGTGTACATGTAAGGGTTAGAGAGTATCTGCATAATGAAAAAGAGGTAAATGCAAGGCAAAACAGTCATGTTAGAATGGCCGATATGGACTCGAAAGCCTATGATCTGCTTCTTGGGCCTCATTCCAAGATTCATTGGTAAACGACGAAGCTTGGTTTGGTGGTGAGGAGGCAATAATTGCTTGGACAATATACATACCTAGCTACCCAGCTACCCAGCGACCCAGCTATTTTGTGATTATAATTTTCTAACCATACACCCGTCTATCCATCACATACTCCGTAAATCACATAACGAGTCAACGAGTCAATTTTGGCTCAAGATCCGATTGCAGAGTTTTCGTGTTAAACGCCAAATCATCATTCGTCGGGTATAACAAGGTTACATTGATGAGACAGCCCGAGTCCGAGATAATTGGTAGATGAGACAGCCAAAATAATGGATAATTGGTAGATAATGGATAACATATCGTGAACGATTGAGGTGACTAGATGGTATGATTTGTGAATTTTCCCATTGGTTTAATCCTGACGATGATCGAAATGATTGATATGTAGGTACTACGATGTGAATCATGTGATGTAGTCTCAGATTCCAAAGCGCGCTTGTTGCACGCCCAGTTGGGGGTTTTCTTCTTTCTTTGCCCATGTGCTGAGCGGGTCTTTTGCGCTTCTGCCATGCCATCGTCGTATGTGTTGGTTGGTAATTTGGTTGAAAAGGTTGGTAACATTGTACTTGGGTGACATTCATTCTCACCGTCCGTGGTTATTGAAGTTTGGGTGTTGGGTTGGACTAAACGTTGTCAAGCGCCTTCCTGAACTAGACGACTAAGGTGCCTACTACCAATTACCTATTACCTTTTCTGTACATCACACATCACACATCGAACATCGCACATCGCACATCGTACACCACATCAGCTTTCAGCAAGAATCCCCGTAAACTGGCCTCTCATCATCTCATATGGTGACGGGCTCAACACTAACAATCCGGGGTTTAGATGAACGAGCCTATAAGACCCAATCTCCAGACGTAAACCTGGTACGGAGCGGCTCGAAGGAACCTTTCTCCTTTCCATTCCGCGTCGGAGTAATATCATGATGCTACATTGCTATTGCTCTGGTACTCTACGATAGGATGAGTGCAGAATATCTTTACCCGTCTCCCTGTACGATATCTTCAACCATACAAAGTTCTCACCCGTCTATGGATCCTGAAGGATTGATCACCTATCCATAATGTACTCGAGTGGTCAAAAACAGTTAGGAATGCAATATGTTCATCAATTGTTCATCAATTAGCCATACTGTATACATGACATCTTAGCTCGTGAACCCTTGTCCACAATATATCCAAATGAGAAGAGAGTACGTAGTATTCCGTTGAGTGATTGAGCCCAGTAATTACATCGACTTACTTGCCCATCAAGAAATCAAGAAATCCAGCACTCCCACCGTACAAACACACAAACAGTAAAATCAAATCACCAGTCAGTCAATACAATTACTTCCTACTAATCTAAGCATATCGGCACACGCGAAACATACATACTAGGTATATACAAGGAACCGATACCTGCCCACACCCAACACCACAAATTCTTCTTCCCTTACCCAACACAGACAAATATCATTACGATCAACAAACAAAACACACAACACACACCAAACCCCAACATCAAATCAAATCAATACTCCATCCAACATTCCAATCCCGCCTCTACTACTCCGTCAACTCTCCAAATCCCATTCCATTCCGTTCCATTCCATTCCCTTCCCAAAATCCAATCTGTACGTGCGTGCACAAGTGACTCCCGTCCCAAAGTAACAGTTGGCAGTTGAGGCTGAGTGAACATCCATCTATCCATACTCCGTACATACATATCCTCACGTTCCACCTACCGGTCTGAGAACCCCATACACATACACATAGGTACCTCACATACATACACATCTCCAAATCTTGGTACCTACATACCATAACCACAACCCCTTCCCAGACAAGCTGAAGTCTACCTACCCTCTACTCCATACCTAGCCACAATTCAACCCTATCATCCACCCCCACCCAACTCCACAACCGAAAGGCGAACTTGCTGCGTTGTCATACTCTACCTACCTAGGTACACAATCTCACAATGCGATGCGATGCAGAAAATCATCAACTGGGTCGCTGCACTGTGGCGAAGTACATACATACATAACCTTGGAATCCATCCATACCTAGGTAGCCCTGGAGATACACGACGATGGATCCATACGATGGAGAACATACATACCTACGCCACATATTGAATCCACACAATTCTTATGATTTTCTACACTACACTACACGATAGGTACCTAGGTACCGGATGTTGGTTTTTTTCTAGGTAGACCGGTTTCTATACTATGCGTTGGCAGGCAAATTTCTCAAATTTTTCGGGAGAGAAAAAAAAACCTCAAACTCAAATTCCAATTTTTTATTTTTATTTTTATTTTTATTTTATTCCTATTTTTACTTTTATTTTTAGGAGAAGAGAAGAGAAGAGAAGAGGGGGAAAGGGAATATCAATCAATCCATCAATCAAACGCGATAAAAACATCACCCACCGAAAACCCTTTTTCCGGGCCCCAGCACCGCACCGCAACCATCCATTCTCCAACTTCCAAGCCACGGGTGATGGATGAATTCCCACCGACCAGGGTTCTCGACCCTCTCATTGGACCACCAGAAGACGTACAAAGTACAGCTTTCCCTAACTTCGGGTCCAAAACGGTAACGTGATGCTCAAATGTATGGCTGTAAACCCAGTTACGTCTCGCCGTTCGATTATTCCGCTTTTCTGTCTGGAACATCGATGGCGTACTAGATTGGGGAAAATCGACTGTTCTGTCACATCATTGGATGAGGAAATTGTTGATCCAAGAGACCTTTTTCCGGGCATCGGCGTGCATGTCTTTTTAGGTGTGTAGATGCGGATATTTACCATTTTCTCTGCTACTCCTATCACATCTATAAAAGTCACTTGGGAATTTCCATTCGCGGTACTTGGTTCCATCAAATGCATAGTGCAGATCCTTCGGGAAGCTCAAAGGATAATCGTTGGACGTCAAGATTTCAATCGACCTTCCCCTGGCATTATCGAGTGCCTATTATATCTCTTGCTCAAATCACAAGTGGTTATTGGTTCCTTTTATTCTTCCCAACATTCAAAATTCCAACTATTGCATACTCATAATGATATATTTGTCCGAGACCTGGATGGACCTTGCGCCTGAACGTTGAAAACCATTGAAATAGATAAAATACAACTGCAAAAGTCCTCGTGGAAATGGCACTTGATCTGAATGCACGGACAGAGCTTGTTTTGACGTATCTTTTGGGAAATTGAAGCGCTCACGGGATCCGAAACAAGATGGAGTAAATGTTTCGTATCAATAGTATTCTGTAAATGATTAAGGCCGCTGAATTCCGTGGAAAATTAAAAAATCACTAGTATACAGGAACGCTAGCTAATCGTGTTGTTGCGACAGATAGCTATGTCATCTTCGTAGGTCCCTTTATTCAGCAGTTGCAAATCTCTTTGCTCTAGCTTCCGCCTTTGCCTTCTCAGCCGGGTTATCGGTGACACGACCTGCTGCAGGCGGTTTTGGACCGGACTTCTGCGCATTTCTTGGGCCCTGTTGTGATCTCCTGGAGTCTGGTGTTGGTCTCTTTGAATTTCTTCCTCCTTGTCTACCATCTTCCCGAGCTCTCTTTGGTCTTCTTTCCGGTAATGCGCTATCCAATCCCTCCACAATTTTACTGTTATCCAATCCGAATTTCTTCGCACGTTCTGCTAATTTCGCCGCCTCATCGTCCTCTGTGATGCCGAATCTCTTGGCTCTTGCAGCACGTTTCTCTGCCTCCTTCTGTGCATCAGACTTCTCAATACCGGCGCTGAAATCTTGTTTGGGTGCTTCTGGTACAGGTGCGACTTCAGTTGTGGTGGGACCCGAGGCTGCAATTGCACCATCTTCAGCTGTTGGAACACCTTCGCCTCCGGTAACCTTCAAATCTGTGGTTTTGGCAAGATCGATCGCAGGTTCTTGATTTGGAACTTTTGTAGGGTTGGGGATCTCTTCTTTTCCTCCAGCTGCAGCTATCGCGGCTTCTGCAGGTGCTGGCTTCTTTTCGTCGTCTTCGTCCCAATCGATTTCATCTTCTCCTGTTGTTGCTAAGAATTTTCAGCTCTAAATTTCTAGACCGCATTTTTCAATTGAACGTACCTGTAGCTTCAGCAGCGGGCGCTTTCTCGGATTCTTGTAACCTGGCGATCAAATCTGCCTTGTTGCCAGAGATAGGCAAGGATTTCTCTTGGAGGAGCTTCTTAAGCTCAGGGACCTTGAGTTGGGAATAGTCCGTCATCTTAGCGGTGTAGTTGTACTTTGAGTTGGGAAATTGGTGAGGTGATGAGAAATACAATGGCGGATCAGTATCTTGATTGAGTTGATGATTCTTGAGGTCAAAATTGTAATTGAAGTTGAGGTTAGGTATTTGATGGGATTCCTTTTAAGCCAGGAACGCGTCGAGATGGGAAATGCGACCAAGTATTTCGCGCCAACGTGTGGCTGTACCTTGATATTTTAGTACAGGGTGTGGCTGAAATGGACCTCGGGCCTCATTTCTTCCTCCCTTGTCCTGCCCTCCTGCCCTATCACTCTACCAAATCGTACGGTTGTAGTTATGGTTTCTATAATTCTATGAGTGAAATCACGTTATGTAAAAGATATACCACACTTGGGTACTGCTCATTTATCATTGTATCATTCCGAATTGCACCTCAAGTTTTGGTTCACATTTGGGGAATATGTGATGACCACGCGCTTCTAGAGAGTGTCTCTAACAACCTCAACAGATGTTCATACTGCCGTCACTGTGTGAAGATATCCTGCAGCGTGGGAACATTCTTTCTCATTCTTTACTACTTGATGGAAAAATTGATATCTCAGTTCTCAACATTTGCTCTAGAGAACATTGTGACAAGGCGGCATGGTGTTCTTAGTAATTCCGGCTCACTATCAAACATCCCATCAATATATACTCGCCCAGTGAAAGCCCGTCCATTACTTTTAATCTGAAAGGCTATTATTTTGAGAAGCTAATAATGGTTCTGCTGCAACAGATGATATGTTAGTTTGCATTCACTGCTGGATAGCTTGTAGCTTATTTTCTTGGAACTCTATTCTCCCGAGCACTACCGGCCCATAGAAAACATGTTTTAGTCTCAAGATATTCGTTTCACGGTTGCAAGTTCACCAAATCGAATTTCATTCGTTGGGTATGAAATTTTATTGTAATCTGAATTGACTATTGTTTCAAATCTCTGTTGGTAGAATGGCAAATAGCAGGCAGAGGAAAATAACAATGGATCTATCAAATTTTATGTCTATCATGAAAGCTTCAATTCCAAGATATCATTTCATCGCTAATGACTAAGGATCTTGAACGTCCAAGTGGTTGATGATTAGGTTTGCATCATGGAAGATCAGATATCGATTGAATGTGGATATTCGAATGTACGAACACTAGTGGACCCTTTGAGACGACGGAATTGTGAAATAAATCGTTAGACCCATCACACTAATGACAAACCATACGATCGGTACGTATTTAACCAAAACTCTGGCACATTTCACAGCCATGCGGTAGTGTGCGGTTGAATAGTCAGGCGGTTGATCTATTGGCCCTCTCTCCCTACGTAACCTTGGACGAGGAACAAAGTGAAGCTCTTGTATCAAAAGGTAGCTTCTGATTAAAACATTAGGAAACTCTTCCGGTTGATACACTAGGCGATACTTGCGTTAGTCATGTCTTACGCAAAGTCTTTTAGCATCAGAGGGAGTAAAATGGGACGAACAAATGTTGTGGAGACCGAGGAGTGTCTTCAGAACAACTCCCTGAGTTATCACTATGATCTCATTTCTCTCACGAAGACTGATGTGTCTCCAAAGGAAAGAGAGACCTACTTCCCTATTGTCAGAAAGCTCTTGTACAGTGACAACTGGAATTCCACGAGAAATCACATCTCTGAGGGCTATTTTCGCAGTTTGCTGACATCGAGGCACTGGCGAACAAAAAATATGGGTGATATGTTGCGCCATTAAAAATCGTTCGTTTAGGAATAGGCGAGCAAGTCTTCGTGCTTGTTCCTCCCCTTCAACCGTTAATAGTCCGGTGGAATCATCATGCTATAGGCATGAAATTAGCTGGCAATCTCTATAGGCGCACATTGAATATACGTACTTGAGCGTGTCTCATTACATGTATTATGGTGGTAGGGGGCGGCATGATGTCGTGAATGATGAATGATGAATTAATGTTTAGAGATCAGTGATAGGTGATGTGAAAGAATTATTGGTAAGTAGCAACATTTATAGTCCTCGAGATATCCTCAACTAAGACATTGTCGAGATACTGGAAAGTTCCTCAAACCCCGTTTCCATCCACTTCATTGTCCGAAGATTCGGGCAAGAATTTGGAGCAACTTACTCATTCTCCTACGGAACATAACTGGTCAACAGACACCATATTTAAATTCACATTTCAATTTATGTCTCAGGTTGGAAACGTGCTAAGTTTTTCAAATCATCTATTTTTACTCTCTGACATGACTCCTCGTAACATGCCAAAGTTTTGGGGTTTTACATCACCATTCTTTGTCGGACAGTGGCTACCTCTTCCGAAGTGCTACTCTCATAGACTAATCTCCTTAAAAGGGTGCCGCTCCATCTCTCTCGGTATATAGCTCAGTATATAAAGCTCTATTTTGATATTTTTTGTGTGAAAGCTTTACATGCAGATACTGCCAAACTATGTGGTGCCAATGAGCTTAATGAACGACGTATCCTTCGTCAGACCATGACAAAACGTAGATTTAGTGAGCTTCGCAAGGGTTCTGTAGCGCTTCTAGAGTGTTAGCAGAAGACCCTCGGGTAGCTGATTGGGTGGGAGCAACTACCAATGAGTTTTGGCAAGCGGCATCACAAATTATGAATGCTATGGTGCAACATCCTGGATCAAAAGAGTCCAGAACTGGTGGTATGATAGGTCTCGAGTGGTGTGAAATAGTTAGACTGATGCTTTTTTTTTTTTTGCATGGTAAATATTCACAATCAATCATACTCTGGTCCTGAAACAAAGAGATATTCTCACAAAGAATCATCCAAGGACTTTTTATATCTAAACTTCCAAATAACAAGAAACAAAGCAATAAAAAATCCATCTACAAAGAACCTCTCTGACAAAGAAATTAAAGAACAATCCTTAAACATCCACACCTCTATCATCACAACAAACCAGAACAAACCAGCCCCTATTCCCATATAACCCCTTCTCCCTCCCATCTAAAACTGCCTCTCCATCTCCAAAAGTCTCCTCAAAAACCACATACCATGAAATCCCATCATCAGGACCAGGTACCAGTTCTCCGGCCCGTCTTTTGGAGTATCAAACTGAACTTTCACTCCTCCACCCAAATGGCGGAATGAAATCACCCAACACATTTCTTCTTCATCCAAGAAAAAATGTATTGGAGGTAAGTACGATACGAAAACAAAACTAGGAATTACTAATATGTGTACTAGGTAGATAAACGAGATCGAGAGAAGGGATGTAGTCGAGAAATCGCAGAGAGGTTGTTGGGAAACTGACTAGTTCTTGTGATGGATTGCGAACCTGATTCTCTTTTTTTTCTTTTGGCTTTTGGGCTTTTTGGTTTTTTTGGATCTAATGAAATTTTATTTTTCAGGAAATTTTTGGACTTTTTGTTATGGGGGATTGTGATTGTGAATGTGATTGAAGGTGTTTTTGTGAGAGATCTTATTGTAAGTGTATACAGGCTTTCTTTGTAATGATTATTGTGTTGAGACAATGTTATCAAGAGGAGATATATCTCTTGATGGCTAATAATATCCAGTGCACATACAGGAAATTGGTCACTTTCAACGGATATGATTCAATTTTTTCTACTGAGTTCTATGGAACTATCAAAGTACATTAAATTAAGCAGACTTTGTGTAAAAGAACAAGTAAATCGCCAAAGTATAAGACGTGTGAATACCATCCTCATATGACAGACATATCATTCGAAGTTCCAAGAACATCATGGAGTATATGCTATTATCCGAAGACGACAAGTCCCCGGCCCTCTTTAGTACTATCACGAGAATATTATCTCAGTCCAGTCATCCCAGATGGTGGTGGTGAGAGGAGATATCTCTTTACTTGCCCAGGTGCTCTATGGTATTTCTCTGCCTACGAGCTGTGCCGTCTCCTCCCTGCCACCTGCACCTTATTCAAATTGCTGTTCTGAATTATCAATGCCGTGCTTTTTTTTAGGGGGGGGGGATTGGTGAAAGCTTATATTTCCAGGTCGGTCCTCATACTCAAACTTCTGGGAAAAGGCCAAGAGGGGTGTCTGGCTTACTCGACATTTATTCTTCGATGAATATAGCCCTATCTCATCGGTATGATCCTAAGAGGTACCGATAAAATTGAGATGAGAGTCTGTCCTGACAAAACCCTTTTGCAACATCAATAAACTTCGGCTCAAATATGACTTTGGTGCATGATTCTAAAGAGCTTCCATCCAGTCTCTGAATACATCCTCATGCCTAACTAATCCATAAGTTCAGAACCAAGTGGGGACCAGCCACCGTCTGGATAACCCCAAGCGGCAGTGTAGATGTATTTGTATTTTTTGGAAACGCCACAAGTTGCTGCTATTTTAAAAAAGGTTCGCTCATCATCATCATCATCATCATCATCAGCCGATCTCTTACGAGCCCGGATGCTAAATTTTGAACATTCTATAACACCGTCCGGCAACTTTTTGTCTCGTCTATTTACTTTGATTTTTGGCAAGTCGATTTTCCAAGTTTGTGAATCTCCAATTCTTCTGAAACCAGCTTCTACCTGTGGAATTCGTCCCATTTCGGCAGTCCACGTTGTATCTAATTTCCAACCGCGTTTAACATAATCTGATGAAGAGTTAGGTTTGGCACGATCGATGTCGTTAGTTTCGAAAGAGACAAGTTTGTGTTCAGCTAGAGCCTTCGGAAATAGGCAATAAGCTTTATTCCATGTGATGAAGTTTATTTGGGCCGTAGTCAATGAATCCTTGAGAGTACCTGCCGTGTATAGACCATTACCAATGGAATCATCGTCACCGCCATTTCTACAACACCATTCGTTTTGAAGGTATGATACCTGGATGCGCCTGATGCTGCCATCTGTTACAGCCCTTTTATATAGTCTTACCTAATTAACAATCAGTATATTTATTCAGGTATTGGGAAAAGAAAACACACTTTCGAACAGCCTCCCTTTTTCCTACAACACATACAAATGCCCAATCCATCAACAAT